AGATTTTATAGGAACTATTTGACTGCTAAAGGGTTCCACCCTTCCATTCCCTACGAACCACCAGATAGTATTGTGTACTGTCTGCACCTAGGTGCGCTTTGGTGGGCACAATGAGACTTCAACAAGATGTTTAGGGTATAGGGTTTGGAGGCCACAACGTGGCCATAGCAGGAATGGACTTCCTGCCCGTTGTTCCCCGGCCCATGTATACATGGAAACAGCGTGTTTTGTTGCCGCCTTTTCCCCTATCGTTCGTTGAAATACAACCCTAAACCCTAAATGACATGTATGGGTATATATATATATAGTAGTTTCCGTTTTCTTTTTCCATTATCCACACATACCCCCTATATAACCCCCAAATAACCACTAGGAATCTGTCAGGACAGGGCCATTGTTGAACAGAGTCAGATTGTTTTAAAACTCTTTTGTATGAAAGCCCAGAAAGGACTGTGAAGTTATGGCTATCCCAGTTAAGGACAAGTAAAGGGCACCTCTACTTTCTTCGAAAGCCGGGCCAGGGGTGAAGGGCATTCGACCCTTACCCTGAGAAGCATTCAGCAAGGCCCTAAGTATGCCCCCCCAAAAAACAGGGCACCCCCCGAAGCTACCATGATTTTGCTGACCAGCTCGAATGAAGCTTAAGCCCTAAGTATCCTAGGAGCTTCCGCGGGGCTTGGTGCCTGACTTCCGCAGGAAAGCAGCTGCCGCCGGGCTTTAAGCTTGCACTATGTAGCGCTTGGGGTTTAGGATTGAGGTTTTACGGCTTCGGTGGTGAGAGCTTTGTCAGGCTTAGCATCAGGGTTCATGGACAAACTTGATCTTTAAAAGTGCTTGCTTTTTATGTGGCTGGTGGACGTGGCCAAGTAGCTCAGCCCCTCCCCAAACCCTGAGCCCGTAAGCTTACACTCGGAACCCTGAAGCCCTAAACCCATTAGCTACAAACCCCGAGCCCTTGCTTCTCTATTCCACCGATCTCCCCACAAAGCACTAGGGAGTAAACTTCCACGTGCCCTAGACCCGAAACCCCAAAGCCTGAGCCTTAATCCCCACATACTATACTCAGGAAACCTGAACCCTAGACCCTAAACCCTGAACCCTAAACCCTAACCTAGGGTTCAGGGTTAAAGGTTTGGGGTGTAGGGTTTAGAGACCAACCCCAAGGACCTTTCCCCGCTGAGCACTGCTGCCATAGCGCTCGGCGCGCAACTGGGGCTTCTGGGGTCTGCAGCCGAGGGCCTGGGGAGCCAGGACCTGCACAGAGGGATTGAAAGGGTTTGGGGGTATAGGATTTAGGGTAGAGGGTTTAGGGATGAGGGTTTAGTTTTAGGGTTGGAGGGTTTGGGGTAAGGGGTTCAGGCTTTGTGGTTGTAGGGGGGGGGGTTAGGGCTCTCGGTTTGTAGGGATGAGGGTTTGGCCTGTATGGAATAGGGGTCTGAGGGGGCTTCGGATTGGGATGTAGGATTTCAGCGTCATACTTCTTGTACCTTGGAGTAGAGTATGGTGTGTGGCACATAGGGCACATAATATAGCTCCCCAATTGCACGTGGCGTGGTGTTTTGGGGTTGTGGGATGCAGGTTGTCGGCAGAAAGGGAAGGAGAGTCAAACGGCTAGGGCTCATGGGAGAGAAGTTCAGGGGTGTGTATATCTATATATATATATATGTATGTATATATATATATTCAATTACCAATATTATGGTCGTAGATTCCTTGTATAAGTATGATACAGGATGCCTAAAATAGACCTCAAGATGATGTTGGTTATTAATTAAGCCCGGTATTACATTCTAAGCCCTGAGTACATGCGTCTTTGGGCAAATGGATGGGACTAAATCCTAAACCCTAAACGAGGGATCTCTAATCTTGTCATGTCAACGTTTTGGCACAAAGTTGTAGGTGGACTTTCGCAAGCGAATCCTGTGCGCAGTCCCAGGAAAACAGCGGCCAACGGTCCATGGTTTAGGGTTCAGGATTTGGAGTTTAGGGTTTAGGGCTTACCCCAAACCTTAAAACACCGGGCTTAATAAATTATGGATAAGGGATAAGAGAAAGAGTCTCTTGATCCTCCAGCTGAACCCTCAGGAAGTGGAGGGCAGTTGAATGGATGGTGGCTTTCACTAGTCTAAACTCCTTAGGGGATTATATAGGGGAGGATTATAGGGGTTAGAAGGGAGGTACTAGAAATTTAGATTGTAGTTCGAAATATGCCCAGGTCATAACCACAACTGTTACCTTATATCAGCTAAGCAGGGCCTCTTTTGAGCAGATTATCTAAGTGACCGAACTGAAACTGCCAAACTCCCAAACCCTAAACCCCAAGCCCTCAGCCATTCTCCCTGCTGTGGCTCTGCGAGCCCCGCCGTGCAGGAGAGCGACGTTGACGTTACCCTCCTGACTGAGGTGGGAGGGTTCACAACATAGGTGGTCCTCTTCTAGAATGCTTCTATGGAGAACATCTATATTTGTGTGTGTATACATATATATATATATGTACACATACCTACTCTCAGATGTATGTGCACATGCCTACGTGTATGTATATATATATATGTTTATAAAGATTTTGCAAAGTTTGGAGACTCCTCTAGGAGTATATGACTAAGACGCCTCTGATGTTCGTGTTTACAATGGGCCGCTAGCGACGACAAGTTCTGAGGTGGGCGATGGCGCAGATCACGCGTCCTTTGAAGAGATTCGGGTGTCTTGTCTTTTGGTGATGCCAGATGTTCAGTGAGGAATGGAGACCAACACCCAAGCTCTCAAAAAATTGGCCCTGACCTCCCAAAAGTCCCAAAACTCCGAACCCAAGCCTGAAATTCTAAACTGAACCCCCCAACCCCTAAAGCCCTTGAACTCTAGGCCATGCCGTTGAGACTGCATGACCTGAGAATAAGGTTGATCAGGGAAAATCACTTCGAAACCTTTCCAGACATCCCTGATTTTTAGTCTGATTCCTCATATCACGAAATCTAGCTCTCTAAACCCCAAACCCCCTGAATCCCCTCAACCCCCTGAACCTCGTGAACCCTAAATCCCAAAGCCCAAATCCCCCTTAACCCCCCTGAGTCCATCAACTGTACCACCTAAACCCTAAACCCTAAATCCTAGATCCTGAGCCCTGGACCCTAAACCCTAAACCCTACCATCAACTGTACCACCTCTCAAGCTCAGGATTCCCAGAGGCGAATGCTGCGCAAGCTGCGGGGCTTGCTGGTGCAGGTGCATCGGGCTTTCTAGGTTTTCGTAAGGTACATGGGGGGTTTCCCAAAATTAGGGATGGGGATATAGGGGTTCTATAGGGATATGTTGGGTTTAGGGTTTAGGGTTTCCCAAAATTAGGGGTACCATTTTGGGGGTCTCCATAATAAGAACTACAGTATTTTGGGGTCTATATTGGGGTCCCCCCATTTTGGGACACTACCATATTATGGTGGGTATATACGTATAGGGACCCGGCATGAATTGGCCAGGCTAGGGGCCCACAGCTGCAGCCCTTGCAAAGAGGCTAAGGTGTTGTTTTCAAGTCTGCAAGGTTGGCCAGGCAGGGTCAAAGGACGGAAGCGGGCTCCCATAACCCCAGGCCCAAAAGCTCTGTAAGTCCCCAAACACGAAACTCTGCTTGAAGGATCGGGTAATTCTTTTTACAACCCAATCTCACGCCTCCTACGTCACCCAACATGGTCATTGGGTTACAATTGCCCTGACCCTCCCCTAAACCCTGAACTCTAAGCCCTACCGAAACCCTAAGCCTCCCAGTACAATAAGCGCCACGACAGGTCCCGGGCATCGAGGTTCTCGACTTGGTGACGGAAGCCAAACGGCCTTTGCTGAAGCTGACCTTACCCTGCGGTCCCTTGGAAAGAGTTCAGGGGTTGAGGGATCAGGGTCTAGGGATGCGGGTTTAGGGTCGAGGGTTTAGGATTTAAGCTGAGTTTACCCGCCCTCCCTCAGATACAGTTTAGGGTTTACATCTGAGTGAGTGATAGCCACGAGCCTAAACGAGCGCACCCCTGACTGTACTTGTTATGACGGATTTGCCCAAAACTTGCTCAATTCGGGGTTGTGCATTATTATACTTCGCTTGCTTTACAGGTTGATTTAGTAGGTGTGTGTTGGTCAGTGTATATACATATATACACTTATACAGATATGGTTTAGAAGGTGTTATGCAGGGAATATCTGCCGCCCGACATCCCCAGTTCTCATGCTTCTTTAGGGACAGGGTTTGGAATTCAGCGTTGAGGGATTACTTAGGCCTTGGCATTGCCTTGAGGCTTCCGCCAGCTGGGTAGCCAAACGATGAAAATTCAATGGGGTGTTCGGCAATCAGCCACTTCCGTGTTCTGGCCCCTCATGCACAAAAAGTTGCGTGTTGGGAAACAGCCATGACATGTATGGTTCTCCCTGAACCCTAAACTCCGAGCACCCCCTCATCCGTTGAATGATGCAGACTCCAGGTACGCGGGCGGATGTCTCGGTGCAAAACAGAGAAGCTGGGCATCCGTTTGGGGGCTCTTCATTTTGAGTATGTGGTTTTGGGATCAGGATTTAGGCTTTTTGGTTCACAGTCTAGCATTTAGGGTTTAGATTATCTACACGTTCAAAAGTTGTTGGTAACCCCAAAGAGCTCCTCGAGCAACAAGGGCCCTTTGATTCTCGGATTGTTCCCTAGTTTTTTCTAAATTTAGGGTCCCATTTGGGTACCCCTACATATTAGGAGCCGTAATGTAGTCTATTACCAAAAGGTGCCCCAGATTTTGAGAACACCCCCATGTCTTTGGCAGCCCGATTGTCATTCAAATGCGGTGGCAAAGACAAGGAAGGATGTCGGATCCTGGGCAGGCCCCTAAACTCCCTAAACCCTAGACCCTAAACCCTAAACTCCCTAAAACCTATACTCCCTAAACCCTGAACTCCCTAAATCCTGAACTCTAACTCCCCAGGCAGGATGTCGGAAATCTGCGTTCATTGCCCGGCATCTCCAGCTTGGGCATCCGATGCTGGCCAAAAGCTGCCTGTACCTCAAGACCTGGGCACAAAGGCCAGCGCCAAGGGTTTAGCAAGGGTTTAGGGTCAGGGTTTAGAGTTTTGGGGTCAAGGTTTAGGGTTTAGGCTTTGTAAAGTAGGTCCATACTTCGAGGGTGAGGAGGACTTGCGAAGTAAACCCCCAAAGCATCTAAGAGCAATGCAATGACCCCATGTAGAAGCCTAATGATGTTCTGATATGTTCGGGGTACCTTCAGGGTTTAGAGCTTAGGGTTTCGTAGGGGTTACATGGGGGTATATGCGGTTCAGGGTAGAAGCCTGAATGAGTAACAATTATAGGGATTCAAATGGAGAAGAAGATGGAATAGGACTTAAGTGTGCACATATATACATATATATATATATAGGGGCCATAATGTAGGAAAGCCTCAACAATTACTTCTTTTGCTCTAGTCTCATGGAATTATCGTAGAGCATGCCCCCAAGCCATATTCTGAATATTTAGGTCCCTACATGTCCCTACAAGAGGTATCAAGGGTTCGGGTGGTAAGTTTTTAGGGTTCGGCTCGTTTGAACACACTTGTTTTCGCTTTCCTGGGTTCACTTGGACGTCACGGAGCGGTTGTCATGAGCTCTTGTTTGCACGCTCTTGAAGCTGAGGCTTACTCTTTATGTACATGGACTTGGCTGTCATGGCTGTCATGGTGTTTCTCGAAATCAGGATCCCATGCGCTGCAAAGCGGTAGGATTCTTCCTGCTGTATGAGCTTCTGACCACTTCATGCTTCCAAAGAGAGTGCCGGGGGTGGAAAGAGAGTTCTTCAGGCAAGTAAAAGAGCAAGCACATTCACGATCAGCTCTCTGTGTCCATTACCTCTCCAAGCAATCTTGACCGTACTAGTACTAGACACTAAGCCATAATTTCTAACCTCCAAACCCAAAGGTCTTACATGCAGGTATGGAGCTAAACCTCAAAATCTTAAAGTTTGACATGCAGGCATGGGACTATACACCCTAAGCCCAAACTCTAGCCTCAAAATCCGAAAGTTTTTCATGCAGGCATGGTCTCTACAACCCTAAGCCCAAACTTCAACCTCCAAACCCAAAAGTTTGACATGCAGGCATGGTCTCTATGGACAGCAAAATGGCTTCCCATCTGGGCTCGGCTTCTCGTGCATGGCAATCTTCGCCGCGCAGTGTCTCGAGCCGCCAGCCGCGGATCATGTCCTTGAGGCTTCGGAGGGGTGCAGAGAGACGGCTTAGGTTTAGGGATTGAAGTTTCATGATTAGGGTTTAGGGATTAGGTTTAGGGATTTGGGTGTAGGGCGTAGATTTCACAGAGTTTAGGGCTGCTTTCAATGCCTAATAATGGTCCAAAGAGCCCAGCACCTCCAAATCAAGTAAGGAAGCCCTGAGCTCCTACACGACACTAAGGACATGTAGGGATGTATGGGGATGCATATGAGCTATATTCTAAAATCCTTAAAGGGGGGTTATATGGGGACTATATAGGGGAGTGGTATAGTGGCTATTAACGGGGATACTAGGAGTATAGACTATGGCTCATCTATGTGTATTTCTGGATGGTGGAAAAGAAAATTCCCAATATACCTTTCATCACCCAAAGTACCCCCAAATGAAAAACACATGAGATAGAAGCTGGGTTCACATGTTGGGGGCCACAGGGATGGAACGCCTTGATAAGCTTGCATGCCCTAGAGCTCTTTTTGGGGTGCATGCAGGGCTTACAGTGCATGGATACGCAACTGATCTGTAAGGGCTTTCGGGCTTACGGTTCAAGTTTTAGGGCTCCAAGCGTGGCTTCGGCTTTCAGGGCTGTAGGCTCCAAAAACGCATCCCTTAATGGTCGGAAAGTCCCAAAATATTTTCTACGCAAGGGTCTCGACGACAAAGACGACAAAGTCTGAGCCTCCCGCTGTGATAGTGGGAGGCGAGGGCTGGCGACGACTAAGTTGGAGGAGGCATGCCACAGTTTCAGGTTTCCGGTTTAGGCCCGAAGGATTTTACTTCAGGCCTCTGGTCCACGTCAAAGCCCTGTTTCGTAACAGACCCACCTAGACACCTTGCAATGCTTTGTGAAGCCCCTATGGAAGCAGTTTCATGTCCTTCAGACCGCCATGAAACACTGAATACACGAAGTAAGCTCGGTTTTGCAACATCTGAGCCCTAAAGACCCTAAAGCTAAGTCCCAAATCGCTTCCTGAAGGTTCCTGAGCTCCTTGACATATCGCACGTCCACCAGCTGCGAGAGAGGGAGAAGACGAACGTTGAGGATTTTGATTAGGGTTTGTTGGTGTTTGTGGTTAGCAGGTGGTCCCTACAGTGCATTCTATAGAAACCCTTGTATGGGTCCGTATACCACACATTCGTCTATTGCCTACCAGAACTTGTAAGTTTGCGGTTTCGGGTTGAGGGTTTCTTTTCGAGCAATCAGGATAGACTTCCGCATGTGTATGAGTACACATTTATGCAGACACTAAGCCCCTAAACCCTAAAATACCTAAACCCCAAACCCCCAAATCCAATGCGGCTCCAGGATTTGTCGCGCATCGTGCACGGCATCTTCCTCTTCTACGCGGCCGCTCGCCTAGCAAATCCCACTTTCAACCTAGTCTAAACTCATAGTATCCCCTTTAACCCCTAAGGTTTAGGATTTAGGGTTTTGGATTTAGGGCCCAGAAGCCGAACAATCAACGCTGAATACTTTGTTTTAGGTATACTTCAGCAGGCTAGTTCCTACCAAGCTTACTCAGCTTTGTAGGGCTTTCTGGCAATATGGTTCATGGGTGCTTGCTGATTTCTGCACGCCGCATATCACAGTTGCCAGAATTTCGTACGCTTTTCATCATGCTTTTGAATGACATAATGCTGAAATTCCGGTTTTGAGACCTCCCAAGCGTCCTGGTGATTTGCCATATGCTTCTTCAACAAGTTGTCAACCTGGGGGGGGTTAGCTCCTCAGGAACAAGACCTCGGCGGCCATGGTGTGTCTACAGATGCAACAAACCCTGTTTATCGACAGGCCAAAGAACTAGTACCCTTCCTCCCCCAATCTGCTGCCGACCCACCCTAAACCCTAAACCCTAAACACTAAATCCATGTAGTTACTTGTGCAACTCCGCGGCCTGAACCCGGACTGGATCGCTTGCGGCAGAGTTCCGAAAGGAAAACCCTAAACCCTAAACCCTAAATATTGATTTCCATGTTCTTTTCCATTATCCCTATATCACCCCTGTATATCTCCTATTACAGTATAGTGGTTTTCATTTTCTTTTCAATTATTGAACCATGTTTAGGCGAGTGCATATGAGGTCCCTTAGGATGATTGGTGAGTATGTATATTTGCTGTCCAATTTGGGGGACCATTAAAATCCTACCAGAAATCTTCCGATAAGATTGTACAAAAATCTAATTCTGGGGTAACAGCAAGGTGGTGATAGCTTGTTATTTCCCTCCCAAACCCAAACCCCAAACCCTAAACCCTAAACCCTAAACCCTAAACCAAATTTTCCTTGGAGGTCGCAACCAGACCTCGCCAGCTTAAACCCGGAAGCCATCAATCCTGCGGCCTTGGATTTTGGAGCAGACGGCGGTGATGATAACCTCTCACCTGCCTAATAACCGGTGCCCCCGGAATGAGCTAGAGTCTAAACTCCTTAGAGAGGGTTATATAGGGCATTCTATAGGGAACTACTATAGGAGTGAGTAAGGGGATACTAGGAGTCCAGACTTTAGCTCAAATGTAGTACCGCCAAAAACTAGCGCAGAACGTGTTATTAGGCATTTGAGAGCGGGTTATTATCAGGGCGAGGGTCATATACTTCTCGATGAACTCTTTAGGGAGAACTTGCGCGGGTCTAGGGTTTAAGTCCACATACCTAGGGCGCCACCATGTGGAAAAGCTTCTACATCCCAGGATGTCTTTGACTGGGATGCCGAACAGGCGGGAGATGTGCTCCCTTGTCTGACCTTCTTGAAGAGGTTCGCAGTTTCACATTCAAGTCACTATTTTGTGGAGGGCTGCTTGGGCACCTTTTGTCTACCGCGGTCCCCCCAAATCATCTGGGGCTGCGCGTTGAGGTTAACGGTTGTGAGGGGGGTAAGGGTTCAGGGGTGTTAGGGGGTTCATGGTTTCGGGGGTTCCAGTTGCCTTGCCAGCCTTGCACCAGGTCAACGTGAGCGATCCTTAGATTTTTTTTAAAGGGTACTTGGAGGGTCATGGGGACTTTGTAAGTATGTTAAAAAGCCCTATAACCCATATAATAATCCCAATTATCCCAATTATTAACCTACTTACTAAGTCCCCATGACTGTCCAAGTATGGGGTCCTGACATAACTGTCAGAAGGATGCTTGCAGGGATGAGGTATCATCTCCCTCAAGGTCAAAAGAAGCCCACTACAGCCAAGGGAAAACGTGGAACCCTCGGCCCAAGCCATAACCCCTAAACCCTAAACCCTAAACTCTTGAATTAGCCCTAAAGACTCCTAAGCCCAGAGACCCAAACTCGTCCTGCACCGCAAAGCATAGCCCGCTTCAGATCCAAGACGATCCTGCAAAGTCTCGGTAGATTCAAGGCCTCACGTCTGTTGTTTGCCAGATTCCGGAATTCCCGGGGAGCCCAGTGCTCCTTAATTAGTGAACATACCTGAAGCCATTTTAGGGAACCAAGCCCTTAATCCTGAAATCCAAAACCCTTAACTTAAAACCCCATTTAGGGAAGTTCTCAATTCAAGGTGTATTGGGCTCTCTGGCTTCCTATACTATTTCGAGCTTCTGTTTCGGGCTGTGGGTTTAGATCTGAGATCCTTGAAAGAGCCATGGGTTCCCCTACTACTGCCCCTATACCCCCCTTCCCCTTTAAGGGAGGTAGGGTGAATTAAAGAAAGAAACCTTGGGGGTAGTATAGGGGCAGTACAGCAACCCATGAAAAAGGTGTCGCCGCGCCTGGGACGGCGACAGCTTCGCCCCGCACGCTCCGCTGACAAGGCGTGTGGATCAGTATTCTTTTAGGGTTACGGTTTAAGAGTGTAGGGCTTGTAGGGGCTCTAGGGGCCAAAGGGATGTAGAGTTTGGGAGCTTTGGGTTTAGGATTTACGGCTTGGGGCTGCAGGTTAGGTGTCCAAAGCGTGGGGCCCTCTCCCAAAACAGGAGTTATTCTCAGGCTTCAGCATGTGGCACATGACTCCTAACATTGGGCAAGCGCACCCTTAGGGCAGGGTTTTGAACATCACCCTAAACCCTAAACCCTAAACCCTAAACAAAGCCCCTAGGGCCCAAGCCTGGCATCCGGAGCTCACAACTAGGGTTTGTAGTCACGCTTAAGTAGATAGAATATGGCTTTGGGTACATTATAATAGGATCCCCACATATCCCATATTCTATCTACTTAAGGGGGACTATACAGGGATTAGGGATGGTCTTAGGTTTAGGGTTCAGGGTTTTGCAGGGTTTAGGGTTCTTCAAGCGAAAGATTGGATCCTAATTCCGAAGCCCTATTTTCTCTGATCCCAAAACCGTTGGGTTAGGTTTTGGGGGCTCAAGGCTTAGGATGAGACTTGGAGGTTGTCAAGATTATGGTGCTTTTTTGGGTACCCTAGATATTCGGGGCCGTCTTATATAGGGATCCAAAAAGCGGCCATGATCTTAACAGCCATCTGCTGGCTAATGCAGACTTCAAGCTGCGACGTTCAACGCTTTCTGGTAGTAGGTACTCCTGCCACGCAAAGACCTCAAACCCCAAAAGCAAAACCTCAAATTGCGTATGTGATCTTCTCGTTACGTTCCCATGATCAACCCAGGTACTGAGCATCGAGGACCCTGCACCTCAGCTGGATATGCCGCAACCAGTTTGTGCATGATGGTGTTTCAAGACACAGTTGGTGGGGTCCACTCTTGGCCTTGGCCCTTTACCTACATAATTCCTAGGAAGCCTTGGACTTCGGGTTGTACTGACTGTCCTCCATCAACAGTATATACTTGTGTTTTTTCATGGGTTAGAGTGAAAACACTAGGTTCTCTTCCTCAACCTTCAACCCTAAACCAAAACATTCTTGCCAGGCTTAGGCCTCAACATGCATGTTTGGGGCTCAGGGTTCGGCTGAGGGGGTAAAAGCTCGGAGAGTAGAACAACCATGAATGTATAGATCTGTAGTTGAGATACAGGAGGTATATAGGGATATAGGTGGGATGCTGGGAAGGCTTTTGGGTTTTAGGGTTTCGGGTCTACCTGGGCAGCCAAAAGCCAGCAATAACATGGCTTCTTGCAAAGGAATCACATCCTAGGTAGAGACCCGAGTCTACAAAAACTGTGTGTTTGGGAGCTAACTTCTTTTTTCTAGTTGTTTGGGATTTGGATACCCAAGCAAATTCCAAGCCATTTCAAGCTTGGGCTGAGGAAAGTGTCAGACAAGCTCTGACGGTTCAGGGCTAAGGAAACCCTACGGCATGAGCCCTAAACCCTAAGCCCGCTAGACCCTCAAGCCCTAAACCCAAACCCTCTATCCTCGCAAAAAAGGTATTGTTTCAGTGCTCAGAAATTTGTGCGCTGCTTCAGTCGGCCTCAACATTACCCCTATTCTTGAAATTGTGAGTCCTTGTTCGGTACCAGTTGCCATACGGCACGCGCACAGGAAACTACCCACATGGCCTTGGAATCCTTCACCCTAAGCCCTGCGCTCTGCACCCTGTTAAATCTACGCAGTCGGTCCATTTGGCAAGGTGCTTCCAGATCTTGACCTGGCCCGACCCTACATGAACCCTGCATCTTGGCTGAGCGGTTAGGCACGTGTTGGAGCAGATCCCATCATCTCTGTCTGCTCTGTTATACAACCCCGAACACTAAAACCAGCATGGGTATTGCTCAAAACCCTCAATGATCCCAAATCAGAACCGCCATGAACTCCTCATTATCCCGCCACATACAAGTCCTCAGGGTCCCTTGGGGCCCCCTGTTTTGAGAACCCCCAACATTTTTAGCCTCTGCCGGAGTGCTAGAAATACATCTGACATGGGTGCAGAAGCCAGAACCCTAGACCGTAAATCCCATAAACTCCAAGCCCTAGTCTGGGTTCCGGAGAAAGTCCTGTTTTCCCTGCTTGAGGGTCTCACATTACAGCTTGCATGCTGAAACGAGACCCCAGTCCCCCTGAAGCCTAAACCCTAAACCCTTGTAATGGCCTCAAACATGTTTGTCAAAGAACCCGAACCAAACCCTCGACTTTGAACTTGGAATCCAGAACCCTAAGCCACCGGCGCAAAAACGTTAGACGGCAGTCTAGCAAAGCAATGTTTAGGGTTTAGGGTTTAGGGTATCCCCAGGGCATTGGAAGGCGCTAGAAGGTAATCATTATCGCTAGATCTCCTGACTTAAACATTAAGCTTGGCCCTAAAGCCCTCAGTGGCAAGAACACATATGGGGATCACAGAGATTGCTGTGTCTTGACATTCCTTCAAGCAGCCGCAACCTTTAATTCCCAAGCCCAAAAGTTCAGGCTTTCCGGACCTTGAGCTTTAAATCCCAAACCCCAAACCCTGAATTTCCGGATGTCGCAATGCCCAAGCCATGGATCCTGAATCCTAGCTCGCCAACAATCCCTTAAACTATAACTTCCCAAACGGTTCAGCCCTAGCCCTAAATATTCTTTTGAAAGTCCTTTGCGAGTATGTCTACCTATCCTCTTATTCTATCCTACACTCTAAACCTTCTCTTTTTCATACACTTATATACTTATACATATATATATATTCACACATGTGTATATACATATACACACTTATATTTATTTTTTGATCCCAAGAAACACTTCAAGGGCACTATGCGCATCTGTTTACTTTGGAACACCGTAGTGAAGGCTTTGGACGCCACACCATATTTTAGAGACTAAACTATATAACACTAAAATCATGTCATCTTTTTGGGTTCGTTCTTCAAGAAAAACCATGAACTTACTCGGTTTAGCTGCCAAAAAACACCAAGCCAAACCCTCAACCCTCCACCCCTAAACTCTTAAATCCTAAGCCCCTCAACCTCAGCCCTAAACCCCAAACATTGAACCCAAACCTCGAACCATCAAAGGTAAGTCGTAAACCTTATATTTAGAAAGATTCAGGCTCGCTCCGGTGAGCTTCGCCGCGCCTTTCTTCGGACTTGCCGCTGGGCTTAAGGCTTTTGATTTCGGGTCGAGGGTGTGAGGTCTAGGCTTCAGGGCTTAGGGCTTCGGGTTTGGGGTCGAGGGTGCAGGGTTTAGGGCTTAGGATTGAGCGTTGAGATTTGGCCATATTTCTAACGCGCTCGTTTACTGAGATCACAGTGTCGTTTGGGTGGTGTTATTTCAGAAGAACAGTGCAGTCTGACTTGATTCAATCACCCAAAAGTCCAAAACGTTGAATAAGCAAGCCCTCGACCCTAGGCGTCCCTGCAACCCTTGCTTCATTCAGCCACCATCGAAGGCTCAGAATGTAGGGGTCACTACGATTACAATATCATGGTCCTAGTTTCCTCGTATAATTATGGTATAGCGTATTTGAAATACACTTCAAATTGTCATTGGTAATCATTTAGGTTTCTTTATTTCTGTATGGGGACCTTCTCTTTCAAACCTGGGCAGCGTACTATGGCATGAGGGTTTCAGGCTCAGGGTCTAACACATGCCCAAGGCATGAAGATTTGGAAGCCCTAAAGACCAAGCCCTAAACTTCAAACCCCAAAATCTAAACCCTCAACCCCAAACCTTAAGGTTTAAGGTCTAAATTAATCAAGTCCATGACAGTATGAGGTTTTTGAGGGTATAGGGGGCTTAGATTCTTTGGAGTGCAATTCTCCTGGTACAGGTAGACATTCTAGCCGCAACCCTTATCCTCACACCTGTATTTCAAAGCCTAAGCCTTAAATTAGAGTATATACACTCTGAGAATCACGCATTGCCTTTCCGGGATAACTACATCGTATGCCTATGAGATGTCCTTCAAAAGGCGACATGGTGGAAGTTTGGCTGCTAATGTTGCTACATGCAAAGCCCTCAACCCAAGGGAAGGTGACTTGTAGTGTAATTATAAGGGATTGCCGGCCAAACTGCCAGAAATAAGATCGTTGCTCCCGGACCACGACTTTTTTTGTAGATCAGGGTCCTTACCCAAGAGGCGGTTGCTTTGTTAACCAGCATGCTGTTTCTGGCTGTTTGGTTACCCAGGTATTGCCAGGGTCCTTTAAATAACCGTTGTTCTGGCAATCTTTCGTCTTGGTGCAGCCCTGGAATCATCAACACCAAAACCTACACCCGGAACCCCAGATCCCAAACTCCAAACCCAAAACCATACACCCTGAACGGTAAACCCCTGACCCTAAACCTTGGGCAGCTGAGGCGACCTACTAGCTCAGGGCAAGTGGGAAGCCGCGTGGAAGCCTGCTTTGTCTGAAAAGGGCGCTGGATGCATTGCTTGGTGCGAACAATCGTGGTAGTAGTAGTAGGAGTAGTCGTCGTCGTCGTCGT